GCAAAAAACTAAGAGAGTGCTTTGGGGCTAAATGCTGGCTGAAAGAGGTAGAAACCTGTGAGCAAAGCAGCTGTCCCTGCTGTTTGATTCCTAATGTATTCAGTGAAACGGGACTTTGGCCATTCTTCGTAAATGAACAAGATCGCTTCAAAGGAGCCCAACACTATCTTCAGTTTGCTTTCCTGGCAGAAACAAGTCACAGGATGCTGTATTTCAGCAAACAGCACAGATTAAAATGGGGAAACAACAATAATGATAACAGCCTCTGGGGGAAAGTGACCTATCACTTGGTCATTAACGTGGAGGCCTTAGCCCTGGGCACCTGGCAATACAATGAAACCACCCTGAGTTGGGGACAGAGTGAAATAGCTTTGTGTCACCAGCACACATCCCACTGCTTTGGGGAGACATTTAAGGGCCTTAAGAGCCCTTGCAGTTGAACCCAGTGTTTCCTAAATGATAATACACTAGCTGCTGTACTCTCCTCTTTCAGGTGATGGAAATACCAAGACACTTCCTATCTGTGGGGCTATGACCTGGCATCCTCTCATTAGCAATACCAACAAACCTGCCTCTTTCAGTCACCCCTGCTCATCATGGGGGCAACCAGGCCCTCGCATGAATGCAAATCCACATTGTTACCTGCCACGCATGGCCTGGGCCCTCCACCAACCACATGTCTTCAGTTTCAGTTCACTTTCTTCTACAGGTGGCGAAACAAACAGATGATGGGAACTGAGCTTTAAAAGGTTGCGACTTGTGTCAAAAAGGCAGCCCTTGTTCCAAGCACAACAATGCTCTGTGAGGCCGGGGCCCCTCAGGCTGAGCTCGGGGTTTGTCACTTGAATGGGCTCCTTCTGCCGCACGTAAAACCAAGCGAAGAGAAGAGTCTGAAAAACGACTCCTTTTTTCTCTTTTCTATATCAGTTTCCAGACTCTTCAATCCTCCCCAGTCCCCTGAAATCCATGCCCATAAAGGACCCAATCCTGCAGATCCTCAGTTTCGCCATGGGCAATACTCCTTTTGAAGTGAATGGGAGTTTGCCTTAGCAAGGACCCAGGATTGGGTCCAAAGAGTGTGACATGGAGTAGTGTGCACACTCACAGCCTGGAGCCTCTGCCTTCCCTAGCTTTCACACCCATTAGCACCCTCTGCAGAACAACAAGGAAGATGTTAATCCCCTACTCACCATATGGAGCCTCCATCTTAGCGCTTAGCTCTGCAGTTACATTGACCATTTCTCGTCGGCTAGTGTATTAGAAACTTGGGGTGGAAAAGAGAAAGAGTGTAAAATAAAAAAAAATCTATGTGTACAAGGAGCCAGGTAAAGGCAGGAGGGACTGTGGAGAAGGAGGGTGAGGAAACCTGCCTCTCCTGTTATCTTATTGATTCGCTTAATCAGGGCTAATGTGGGTGGAGATGTTAAATAGTAACCAAGCTCTTATGGAAACCAATCTGCAAGGTGCTATGGCTGTAGCTATAGCAACTGCTGTCAAGCTGGGAACTCAAACCTGGCCATTACTGCATACTTTGGGGCTCCCTTTTGCACCTCGGCTCAACACCAGGCTGACCCCAGCACCCAGGGAGATGTTATCTTGTTGCTCTCCCCAGCTGCACTGGAAAGGCTGGATACTAGTGACAGAGCCCTGCAAGGGGAAGACAAGGGAGGGGAAGGCCTGCCAGCTGCACAGCTGCTGAGGCACAGGGCTTTTTATTGCCATCGCCAAACAAAGAAAACAAAGGCTCTGTGTCTGTGGATGTCAGGGAGGCTCAGGAGGCCACACGTGTGTGTCCAGGGACACGTGTTTAGGTGTGTGCACACCTGTGCACATGAGGGGACGGGGTGAATCTGTGTATGTGGAATGTGTGCAAACAGGCGCTTGCATTTATGCAGCAGGGAGGGTGTGTATGAGCATACGTGTATTTACAGGGGTGAGCGTGTGGGTGCATTGTGCCTAGGCATGTTTCTGGGCGTGGGGGGGGGCGAATGCAGATACAACAGAGCCTATCCTGTGGGCTCCTTCAGTGGAGCAATATGTGTAAAGCTAAGGTAAACTCTCACTCAGTGCAGAATTGGGGACCACTATACAGTGCAGAAAATGAGAGGGTCAAAAGCACCCTTCAAACTGAAAGAGAGGGAGCACATTCTCTGTGTCAGTGCCAGACTTTCAGGAGGACATGACAGGTTGCCAGGAAATGGCTCAGAAGCCTTAGAGACCCTGGCAGGAAGAAGAGAGATGGGAAGTTGTATCTCAGCATGGCACAGCCTTACACCGCCTAGATATACCCAGTATACCTTACCTCCTTCTGACTGCCACCCAAATGAGGCCTGCCTCATTTATACTCCTGGCATCACTTGTCTAACTTGCACTGCCAACAAAGGATCACTGAAGTGTATTGAACTGAGTGCATACATGTGTGGCCTTGGTACATGTGAGTACACGTATTCTTGCAGACTTGGATGGAGGCATGTAAGCACATGTGCAGCTGGGGGAGTGATGTAGGGGCAGAGCCACAGGCACCAAAGAAAGGTTCTGAAAGTCTCCATGGCTCTCACCCTCATCTTGTTCTCCCCAGTGTCTGTACTGAATTGAATCCCCTTGTGCCCCACATTGGCCACATGCAATATTCATTACTCCCTTCAGATCCTGCAGTGTATCTTCTCGCAACATGCTCTTCTGCTGTCCCACTGAGAAAGGTGATGTGTCATCCTCCCCCTTGTCTGTCTTGAAGGATCTGGGCAGAGGTTGCCACCAGAGCAAGTGGAGAGAGTCATTGACACCAGCAAGCTATGATATTGCTGTAATAGCCAGAGGATGGTTGTCCAGCTGTTGACTGCAGGCTCCCAGGTTTGCGTATGGATGAATGCTATCTGGAATAGGCCTTGTGTGGAAGTTTTAACTCACAGATGGCAACATCAGCTATGAGAAAGAGGTGTCAGCTGAAGTGAGATATGGTGTCCATGACCTAGCTTAAACTTCACCTTCTGTTAGGTCCCAAATAAATAAACAATGATAACAATAATCTCTATGATTGGTTTTCCCTGTGGAGGGGGTTACTTTACTGTAATGGGTGGCCAGAAACCTTTTTATTAGGGATACATATACTATTCCACATGGCAGTGATTCATCTGGCACTGCTGAGGTGTTAGCTGGATGTTCTCCACGCAGGTTATCATCCTGCTGTTGGTCTGCCAGCAGCGCAAGCACACCCAGACCTGGGACTGCTCATGGCCCTTTTGCATGTGCTTGAGGTAGTAGATACTGGTGTTATTGCTGAGAGGATGCTGGAGATGTGGGAAGGCCAGGCTTGGGCTAAGAAAACAATCAGTTTGAAATGAAGGGTTGATTCCATGCCCACCCGGATCTACAAGTGTGAAGTTGGAGGCCAGAATAGCAAGGGCTCTCCTTGCAGAGAACAGTAGGGTGTTGTTTAATCTGTGCCCCTAGAGTGCTAGATCATGGTAGGCTTCTCAAGAAAAGGATCAATCATTGTGGGTCACTATATCAGTCATTCTCTGCTTCTGAGTTTTGGTAGCCACAGCCAGGCCTGTATTTCACTACCCTGGGCAAATTAAATGTTGCAGCACCATCCCGCAGATTCATGTAGTCACTGCATTGACTAGCAGTGATCTGACACCTCTGATCATCAGTCTATTCTCGAATGCCAAGAAGAGGTTTCCACGCACCTCCAGACCCAAGCAGACACTAGTCAGTCCTGAGCCCAGTGTGGGCAGCAGTCTGGCCAGTGGCACTCTCCCATCCTCAGTGCAGATAGCAGGGATGTTCACCTGTGTCTGCTGCTCAGCAGGGCAGTGGGTGTTATTTGCTATTCATGCAATGTCTTCACAGCATGATGCAGGGTTGGGAAGAGATACCCAGCTACGTCTGAATGAACAAGCCCATATAGCTATATTAATGTGGCATCATACCCAAACTAATGCACCCTGCTTGTCAGCAGGGAAAACAGAGCTAGCTTGGGCATCTCTGACGTGGCCATTAAACAGACCCTTTTCCTTAGGCCTGAAGTCTTTGTGCAGCAACTTGGAACAGATACGCTCAAAGGAGAGACCCTGGTCTCATTGCACTGGGGTGCTGACTGAGACCTAATAGGCTCATTTTGCTGATAACCTCTGTGGAGATTTGCACTGATGTCCCCAGGCAGAAAGCTGAGTGGACCATCAGCCTCCCTGGTTTCCCTTCCACCATTACACTGCTGAGTTCGCCTGCCGGTGTCCAACTCCAAGATGGCTAAGCCCACCCTTGCTGACTCATTGAGGAAACTGCCAGTGCATACAAGGCTGATGCACTTATCCCATGCCTACACACACATTCCTGTGCTCTGTCTCTCCTGAAGCACAAATTCATTAGGGCTGTTGGGCCCAACATGCATTTGCAAGACAAAAAAAGACAGCCTGAAAGACACAGACAGTGTATAGCTGATCCCATTATTGTACCAGCTCCATGTGGATGCAAGGAGGACTCCAAGTCTCCAGGGCTGTCAGCCCCTTCCCCAGCAGAACTATTCCCTGCACTCTCCAACACCCAGCTGTGGGCAAGCGGGAAGGACAGAGACATCGGGGAAGACTCATCTATGAAACCTCTAGTAGACGTGACTGCAATACCTCCCTTCCCCCACAAGGGGGTGGTCATTACACAGGCATGCTCACACAGGAGCTGTGCTGCAACAACGGGTTCCCAGAGCCTGCCTTGGGCAATAAAATGAGGGTAGTTTGCAAAATATGGTCCACTCCTGCCCCCCCATTGCAGGCTGGTGGTTGGGTTCCTTCAGGTGTGTGACTGGAGATACTCAACCCCACACATCTTCTGTGCATCTATTCATGCAGGCGAGAGCTGCCTCTGCAGGGCTGCCAGCATCACCTCGGCTTTGTTAATGGAATTTCCCTACACGCAGAATGAGCACCAAGTGTGGATGTGCTGCTCTGCACTGCGAGGGCTGCATGCTCCATTGATAAAACAAGCATGAAGACAGGCACAAGTACCCTGGTCTCAAGACTTTTATTATGACAGTCTGAAAAAGAGCCCCGCTAGTTGTGCAGGATGAATGTAGAGTCACTTGCAAGGGACCGTTGGAGCACACTGCTGCCCATGGAGCCCTCGCTGCTCCAATCAGTCACTCGTTATGGGGGATGCTCAGAGGAAAGTCTCATCATTATTTACATTGCTCATCTGGCTTACATGTGAGAAGAAGGGGCCCTTCTGTCTCTGCCTCTGTGTAGGGTTGGGAACTGGGCAGTGCACGGGCTCCCTGGATACATCTATACCCTGCGAATCTAAGCTTTTGCCTACTTCCCTCAGAGTTACAAAAAAAATACAAGCATTCCCTAAAGAGCTGTATGAAAAAATACAGAGGCACAGTGACAGCTCAGCCATTCCCTACACAGCACTACGGGGAAAGCAGGGACTGCTGGTATATAACAGTCATAGGGAAGTGTTCAGCTCTTATTGTTTAAAGCTTCCTAAATGCAGCTGAGGCAAATGTGGGGGGACGGAAGAGAAAGCAGCCTGGGATTTCACTGCCATAAATAACCCTTGGTGTACATGGTCATTCCCATTCTGTCCTGTCAACCAGCCATGGCTCCTGCCCCGGGTTCTCCCACTGCTGTGAAGCCTGGCACAGTAGTCTGGGGCCTAGAACCAGCTGACTTTGTTGGATTTCAGTCCTGTGAAACACATGTTGTTGCTGCAGATGCCCCCATAGCTGGGTGGGCAGGCTGAGCATGGTCTCCCCATCTTGTACGGAGCTTCTCCTATCCAGTTGCCCCTGGAAAGAGAGGAAGCAGTGGTGGGTGAGTCACATCACTCGCTGCTTGGGAGTTTGTTGGCTGCCACATCTGGGTTCATTGTACTCTGGACAGGGAGGCATGTGGGTAGGTGGCCTTGGATGGACCGTACTGTCCTAGACAGGTTGAAATCAGGTTGAAATCCAGGTGCACTTGGTCAAAGTGCATCTGGGTGCAGGCAGACTCCTGGTGCTAGGCTACGAACCCTAGAACTAGTCCAGGGAGCTTGCCTGGAGTTCCGGTGAGAGAGGCTTGTATTTTTAGGGCACTGACCAAGGTGCTGCTAGTGGCGTACCTAACAAAGCAGTAACTTCAAATGGCACTGCCAGAGCCTCCCAAGAGGGCCTGCTATCATATAATAGCCTTCTTGTGCACAGCTTCCTATCCTGGGTCTTCACGACTGCTCTCATGAAGCACAGGTTGACAGAGAACCGACTATGTCAGGGGAAGAACAAAGCCTGGAAGCCGCTTTGTCTTGGCTCTTGATCCTTTGATGCTTGCACAGTGAACAACTCTCTGTAAACAAACACTGCAGTGGCCTGGGGCACAGGAGGTCTCACAGGGGTGTCTGTGGGCTTCATCCACCCACAACTCAGCGTGTTATAGGTCCTCTCTCAGAGCCAGCGCACAGAGGACAGGACTGGTTGCAGACCCAACTATAGAAGCTATATAGCCACAGCAATATGTGCTTGTAGGCCTGGAAGCCCTGGGTCTATGTCCAAAGGGTGCCCACTCATTCAGGATGCACAGTGAGACTATACTCAGCCACCACTGCTGGGTCAGCTCCACTCCTAGTGGTGTGCCCAGACAGGATGGGGTAGGCACACCCCCTGGGGCCCAGGTCTCTGCAGGTATGAAGGAGCAGTTACATGAGGCTTGTTAACAAAAAGACTCGAGTCAAGGTCAGGATAGCAGAACTGCCTGTGGCGACATTGGCTGTATACGCTTATCTTGGAGCCCAAAGAAAAACGCTCTGTAGGGCTAATAGTGGTCATAGGAGAGGCCAGACTGAGCAAAGGCAATGTAGGTATGGGTCATCATATTCACAGGCAGGGCTGTGACTGTAAGGTTAAGGGCTGAGACAGAAGTCACAGCTTCTACTTTGTGCCTCTCCTGTCAGAGGTCCCGCAGTCAGAGATCAGTGAGAGACGATGCCCAGGGCACAATACTTATTTAAAAAGGGAAATCTCCTGGGAGGGGAGCAAGTGCTAGGGCTGTGCAAAACAGCACCGTTTCGTTTCAACTTCCATTTCGCCATTTCGAAGGGACAGGGTTTGGTTTCACTGTTTCGAAGCACTGTTCTGTTTTGTTTCGTCAAAGCTGTTTCACCGTTTTGACACATTTTGCCCATAGGCTATAATGGGGAATCATGAAAATGCCTATAACTTTGTCGTTTCTTTCCTGATTTGAATGAAAACAGCAAGGATGGTAGTCCCAAAGTCTGTCAAACTTCAAGGAGATAGGTGTAGGGGTTTCTGGGAAACTACACCTCAAACTGTTCAGAGCAAAACTCGTGTCACTTGTAAGTGTGAAGGCACAGGGGGGTGAAAACAGCAACCATGGTAGCCTTTGCTGAGGGCACGAAGCCTGCCAGGTTTCAATGAGATAGGTGCAGGGGGTTCTGGGAAACTGCACCTCAAGGTGCTGACAAGCAAAACTCATGTCACATGTCTGTGTTAAGGCAGAGGTGGGTGAAAACAGCAGCCCCTGCAGAGGCCATGAAGCCTATCAGGTTTCAAGGAGATAGATGTATAGGTGCTGATGCTGCGGAGCTGCTGGAAGACAGCTCAGTAACCTGACCCCAAGGCACAAAGAAAGCTCAGTTCAAACAATGCTTTGATGCTGCTTTTCCATCCCTCCCTCAGAGCACCGGGATTGGAAGGGACCTCAGGGAAGGATCACAGTCACTGGCCAGCTACACAGTCAATATCTGAGCAGTCGTTCCCCCCTCTTCCCCCTCCCTCTCCTTAGTTTCTGTTCAGCTGCAAGCAAGCCTGGCTTCAAAACTTGAAACATTTCAAACCTTTCAAAACGTTTTGAGTGCCCTTATTTCGTTTCAAAGCTGTTTCGTTTCATTTTGATTTCACTGTTTCAAGCTCGAAACACGTTGAAACAGCTTCGAAACGAAACACCTGTCAAAATTTCACACAGCCCTACTAAGTAATCCCCAGCTCCTCACCCCCTTTCCCATCTGCAACGGAGACCTTCCTTGGCTCACTTACTTGATGGCATAGTTGCACACTAGAAACACAGCCTGCCGCCATGTGCTGCCCCACACCTTCATGTTGGTGCAGGTGTTGATGGCACAGCCAATTCTGTTGGAGGAGGCCCACACCATCTGCACGGGAGACAGGAGAGCAGCAGTGATGAGCACCAGGCAGCTGGCACCAAAGCAGAAGCTTCCTACAGGGACAGCCAGGGAACCCGATACACAAGAGCAAAGGGACCTGGGAATCTCCTGTTCCAAGTTGGAGATGAAAATCTCACCAGCCTGATTCTCTTTACGGCTGTCTAAATGCTGCCTCTCCTTGGTGCTTCACTGCTTGTATTTATCACTCCTGGCCAGTGATTTCCAATTGGTGGCCACAATCTAAGTCTCCAGAACTGACACCTGCCTGTACACAGCTTGAGCTGAAACAAGCAGCACAGATCTGAGCCGTTTTGTTTTTAATGACCTGGTTCCAACCTGGTTGGACAAGGGATCAGGTGCACATAGCCATGCTTGCACTGCAGAATTACCCACCCAGCCTTAGCCTGGATGAAAGTGTCTCCAATGGAGAAGTCCTCATGAGAGAAGATAGGAAGCTCTTCCACATTGCTCATGGGGCATTTAGCTCTTCGTAAAAAGCAGCAGTTATTTTTCTAGTTGCCTCCCAGACTCCCGCATGCTGCTGCTCCAGACAGTCCGGAAGTCACAACAATAACAGCCGCCCCAGGACTGAGACACATTCAAGCCCTCAGACATGTTTGGAGGAAAGGGGATGAAACATGTACGTAAGTGGCAGACACCCATGTAAATATTGGAGCACGGATCATCAGGGCAAGCAGGCTGAGCAGAAAGAGACCCACAGTGGAGCTGAGCAGCACACTGGTAATTAACGGTTAGAAATGCTTTGCCATGAACCATGGAAGTCAGAGAACATTTTCCACGTTGTGCTGGCTGCTCTCCGCCTGGATCTGCTCTGGGGGGATGAAGGGGCCGTATTCACTAGGAAGCCAGACACTGCTGCACAGTAAATAGCTGCCCTGTCATGGAGGTGCTGATTCATGATCAGCAAGGCAGGAAGGCTGTTTTTTTTTCTTTGAGGTGCTACTAGTGCAATGTGGGGAAACTGAAGCCAAATCCTAGAGAAAAAAGGAAGCCTTGCAGCCAATTGGCTGAAGCCTTCCATGTGTGCTCCAGAAGCTGGGGAGAAACCTCCCTGCGCACACGGTCCCGGCATTTGGATGCAAACCACCCAATTCACATGAAAGTGATGTGTGTGCTATAAGGCAGCAGCTCTGGGTTTCTGTCTCTCTGAACAGCTCTCTGAGGCCAAGCGTGCTGCCAGGTATCCCCAGAGAAGGAGTGGCATTGAATGCCAGCTGCCTCTAACAATCAGGAATGCTGGCCTCTGCCTGCCTTCGTGATTTAAACCAGACAGCTTCCCAAAGCCATTCCCTCCCTCCAGCCACCCCAGCTGCGACAGACGGCAGCTCCCCTGGTGCACAGAGCAATGGAAAATGCAGCTACTGATTCCAGGAGAGGACCTGCTGTTTGGGCCGTGCTTTTCTAATGTGTGTGTTTGCTTTGGTTGGAGGAGGAAAGGGGGGAACATTGCATCTGTGGCCAGTGACAGATGCTGGGGCAGAGCAGAGCAACCCATTGCTTGTCTCTGGGTGTTACTGCTTGTGGCCCCCAAAAGCTGCTGTAGCAGGATGAGGTCTGAACTAGTGTTTATCCTGTCCTGCCTTGGATGTACTCCAGCGGGCTCAGCAGTGCCTGCACCTGCTTTTTGCCAGGCCTCCCATCGTCTCTTCCAGTGGTCTCCAAACTTTTTTGATCACGCACCCCTATCAGTAAAAAATTTTTGAGCATGCACCCCCAATATATGTATATTTCTATTTGCGCACCCCTATCAGTGAAACATTTTTGAGCAGGCACCCCCAATATATGTATATTTATATAAATATACATCTAAATAGAAGTTCTAATATTTTCTTCCCGCGCCCCAATGGATCGTTTTGCGCACCCCACTTTGGAGACCACTGGTCTATTCAACCAGGCACAAACCTGGGTGATCCAAAGGATTGATTTCTCAGGGAGCCTGCTGGGATCTTTTGCTACATGTCACTTTATTTGGGCTTTTGCTTCTAGATCAGAACCATGTGAAGCCTCACATCCTCCTCTGCTACCCTGAGGAACACATTTTACCTCCTTTGTTTGCTCCTTAGGGCTGCAGGTTATTCTGTCCTGCAAAGAAGGACTGCCCAGATCTCCTGCAATGACACAACAACAGCTCTGATCTTGACAAGCTCCTGTTGCACCGGGGGCTCTGGGAATCTGTCATAGTTGTTAATGCCATTGCCCTGCCCCAGGTAATGCTTGCTTCCTACCTGGGTGTAATGGCTACACACAGAACCACTGCACTTGGAAGGGCAGCTGGGGTTGCACTCCTGAGGGTAGGGGAAGGAGTAGTACTGCTTCTCATAATACCAGGATTTCACAAGGTCCACAACTGAGCGGTACCTGCAGAAAACCACACGAGTTAGCCATGCCCATTATCTTTCTTCTTCATGGGTCTGGGATGTACAGCAAGAAAAAAGTGAGCCCCGAGAGGTCTTGCCCAGGCTACTCACCTGGAGACTTGTCCTGAGCATGTGTTTTCTAGGGCAGTGATTAGGATAATGCATGTTGGATGCACCAAGCTTTCCCCACTCAGTGCCCATTGCCTCCCTTTTTCTTGCTACATTTGCTGATTTACCCCATGCTCTTTGGTTTTTTTGCCCAAGGGTTTTCAACAGCCACTTTTATCCTGCAGTGAGAGCTCAACACAAACTTTTTCAATCACAATATTAGGAACACATTTTGCCAATGCATTTCTCTGTATAGTAATGGTCTCTTAAGGCCACTGGCAGCTGAGTGGCTCTGGCTCTGCTGAGCAAGCTGAGACATGCCCTCCAACTTTTGTTTCGTGAGAAGTCCAAATCAACTCTGAGACTTTCCACTGCTACTGTAATTCAGAATCACTGCCAGTGCCAAGGGCTTCAGTGGGTTCAGCTGCACATGTTCATGGCAACAGTTATTCTTAACTAAAATCATTTTGTCTGCAGTGGACTTGTCTTTGTCAGTGATGCGGTGACCAGTGCTCCTCACAATAGATAGACAGCCTTTCTCTCTCTCTCTCCCTCCTAGAACCAAATATTTTCCTGCCATAGCTTGGATCAAATGACCAATACCACCCTATAGCCTTAAACATGGCAATATTTTCCTTTCATGCTACCTGAATCCCTTCCTTCCATGAGGCTGTACAGGGAAAACATAATGGCAGAGAGAAAGCACACATGCCAGGCTTCAAGAATGCCTGGGAGAGAGTTGTGGAGAGAAACCCCCTAAACCCACTCTGAGCCCAGAAACCCCCAATGAGCCTCTCTAAAATAAAGATGCTCATTGCAGGCCAGACTTTTTAGTGCTCATCTTACAGTACCTCCCAACTTTTGAATTCATCCGTATGTCAGAAAGATCCCAGCACAGGGACTTTGGTGAGAATTTAGTCACAATGCAAAGATCTGGTATCTAAGAGTAAACCTTCTTGTGGGAAACTACATATAAGCAGGGATCACAAGGTGGCCTGGCTATGGCTGAATGGTGCCTATTTAAAGTGTTGGACTGAGAAACTCATCAAACTAGAAAAACAAAGAACTCTTCCAGTTTAATGAAAATGTTGTGGGTATGGGCATGTGAACAAATTAAAGCAAAGCTAAGCTCCAGCGTGAATCTATGTGTCTGCTCTACAGTGACTGCTCACGTATATACTTACAATCTGTAATACATGAAAGGCAGACTACCCCACTTCCTCTAGCACCTTGCGGTAATTGGTTCATGTGCCCATACTCGATACATCTAGTCCCATTTAGGTGAGTCTGTTTAGGCACCACCATCTGATCTAAAAGTTATGGGACAACTTCAGTTATGTGTCTGAAATGAATGAGTTGCATCAGAAATGAATTTGAATGTGGCTGGGCAGGTCCTTAATCGGACAGAACCAGAATGGGGCGATGGATGTGAAGCTCCCCAGTAAGACTCTAGTTTTACCATGGTGAATTCTGGTTCTTGTACCTTTTATGTCTTTAAATAACCAAGCTTTGAGACAACCATCTTCTTCATTCAGAATATCTGCATAGTGTGAAGGACCATACATTGGCCCTATGTAAGAGAGAGATCCTGTTGACGTGGCTCATATTCACGAGGTCCTTACTCCACCATTCAACCACAGTGGTGTCTTTTATTTTGTTCTCAATTTCTGCTTGAGTAACTGGTCCTAAATAATAGGAACACAGGATTGGATGGGACCACGTGTGTCATCAATGCCTGCCCTCTGTTACCACAGCCAACCATGCAGCAAATGCTTAGTCTAAATGGGTCCACAAGAATACCCATTTTGACCTCTCTTGCATGCCACAGCCAGAGATCTCCTTCCGCCTCTAGAACAAAACTGAAGGCTCCTATTAATAGAATCAATGGAACAAAGCCCATTTTTGTTCTCTGCAGCGTTCCTCCCATTTATTCCTTATATTTGACATTTGTTCTTACAGGGTAAGGCTCTGAAGTTCTCCTCTCCTCAGGTCTGCAGAGGAAAAGGAGTTTAACCCCAGTTGGTACAAATGAAAGACACCTGCATGGTCCCATCACACCTGTGGGTTGCTTACCTGCCAGAGTGAATGGAGAGGTTCTGACCAATGTACTTCATCAGCTGTGGTGGCCCATGGTCCCATATACACTGTGCTGCCCAAGCTTCTGCGGACTTGGCCAGTCTCTCATCCCACACCTAGGCAAGGAAAAAGACATGGGGCTACAGCTTTGGTCACTAGGCCGGGAGGAAAGATGTGTGTATGTTCAGAAGAACTGATTGAGAACTCTAGAAGGTTTGTTTGAAAAAATCCATCACGTCCTTCATCATGCAGAGCATTTCCCTACATCATTCCTGCTAGAGTTGGTACTCACATAAGGAAGAGCAAGGGGCTATCCTAGGGTGAAGGCACAGAAATAATTAACAGGCTAGGGCTCTCTCCTGATCTGCCACTGGCACACTGTGTGATGGGATGTATGATGTTGAATGAGTCCCTCCTTCTCTCTAGGCTCAATTTCCCCACCCAGGGCATAGGAGCTAAATCACTGGTTTGTAAGTTGTTTCTACAGATGTTACTGTAGAAAGGCGATGTGTCATCCTCCGCCTTGTCTGTCTTGAAGGATCTGGGCAGAGGTTGCCACCAAAGCAACTGGACAGAGAGTCATTGACTCCAGCCAGATATTGCATAGTGCATCCAGTCCTTCTCAGGGGGTTCTGCTCTGAGGTACCTCCTCCAATCAGTTTTAAAAGTCCCAGGAAGACTGTGCCATAACCCAATACATCTCACATCTCTGCTCTATATCTTACACCTCTACCTTGGACCCAGGGAAACTCACCTGGTTTCTGATACCATCACAAGCACAACACTAATGCAAGGGTAGTAAGACCCCTACTTCTGTGAAATGATTGCAGTTTCCTGGCTGTGCTCTGAACAGTGATGAAGAAAATTTAATATCTGAGCTCCTGGTCTCCCTTCTGGGGTAAGAAATTCTCTGCAAAACAGGCCGTGCCAATGTTCCCCACTTCATGAAAGGTCATTATTTGTATAACCCTTAAAGGCAGCTAAAACCTTGCAGCCTAACATAGATTTCCAGGACACAGAGAAGCCATCCCTAAAGAAAGGAAAGATGAAGCTGGCAAGAAATGCTGAACTTGAAGGATGTGACAGACACTCTCATGAGTGTACACAGGCTGCTCAGGATCATTTACAGTGCCTAGGGCAGGGGACACAGAGTGAGTCAGCTTTGTCTACCACTGCCCAAGATACACCCAGTAAATCAGGGTCATTTTTATTTCCTGACATGACTTAGTGCCTCTGAACTATATGGATTGTGCATTAGACTGTTAACCCCTGGGACTGGAAACTTGTCTTCTAAATAAGTACAGCTCTAATCATACTGCCAGTCCTCGACAAATACTGCAGTAATAACCATTACAAAGAGCAGAAGGAATGGAAACAACCAAGAATCACTTTCCCTCCCAGGACTCCCCTGGGAAAATGGTTTATTTCCATGTGGGGGAGAGCCCCAGGGGACAGACTGCTATCATTTTGGCAGCACTGGTAAAAAGAGTTTCCCCAGGGTTCACATGAAGATGTCTGCTCCCTGCATTTCACAAAGATGTGCCCTTTCCTGGCTTTCAGAAGCCGCCTTTCAGTTTCACCAGAAGTTCTTGATTGGAAATGAGCACCGGGCCAATCAGGCGAGATGCTCAGTCCCACCAGCGGCTCTTAGAGTTTTGCAGGCCCACCCCCCACTGGCTCTCACTCTCTTTTCATTTTTATTTTCTATTGTGGCAATTTTTCAGGTAGCAAGAATTTCCCAGTGACCATCTCCAGAGCTTGGCCTGGAACTGGGAGCTTTCCAGACAGAGTGAAAGTCAATAGCCAGAGTGTCCTACACTAACACAGCCAGATTTTGCTTCTCTAGGGACAGAAAATACACGTAAACCTGTATAAGTGGTTGGAAACGAGTTCAAAGCTGTACCACAACAAAAATTCAGTGCACATAAACCACTTCCAAAATGGCTGAAACTGGTTTAAGATAAACCTGGATGGATGTAGTATCAGACTTCATTGATTTAGGTTAAATTGATTTATTGAACTTCTGTCCCAGATCCCCTCCAGATTCAAGCTGTCTTCTCCAGCAGGGCAGGGAGGCATGTCCTAGCGCCCCCTGGCTTGTGCTGTGGGCTACTGCAGGCAGGCGGCTGCCCTTCTGGAATCAAAAGTGAATGTCTGCTCACTTATGGTTCAATCTATGCAGCTTAAACTAACCTGCAAAGACTGAATCGATTCAGCCTCAGGCTTTTTGGCTGTCTGTGCTTAGGGCCTGACCGAAGCCTTCTGAACCTAGTGGAAACCTCCCCTAGGCTTTGGATCAAGACTTGAGAGGGTTTTATTTATTAAAATACAGAAATAAGTAAATTAACACACCCACCATTCTCCTACTCTGACAGTTCTTGGACACATGAAATAAAAGCAGCAAAAATAGCCTTAGCTCAGACTCATTTGTTATTGAGTTTACAGTCAGCGCCTCAGGGATTTTATACATATGGCAAGACAGGGATGCAGGGAAGATGATGTGAAACCCATTCCTTCACTGTGTAACAACTCCCCCACCTCAACCACTGCAATGAGAGCTGCTGGCTGGGAAGTAGCAGCCTCTCTCTTTCCTCTGTCATCACTTCAGACAGCAAACAGTAGCCACTGCAATTAACAGGAACAAAACCCTCCCACAGGGGCCCTGCATGCTACATTGTGCCTGCTGACACAGTGCTCACCCACTGGTGTGAAAATCCCTCCCTTTTCTCTTCACTTTTTCCTTTGCACATGAGCTATAGACAATGTGGTCCCCTCCTTGCCTGCAGGCTGAAAGCCTCTCTCAAGCCTCAGTTAACAGGTGCCCACAGTCTGAAGCACAGTGGAAACATCTGATTAATCTACAGGCTTCTCTATAGACATGCTGCCTAGTTTAACTCAAGGTGTGTCACAGCAAAGGGGGCG